TATATCCTTTGCTTGTATTTGGTTGGGACTCTTTCTGATTCTTTCTGGAATTTTCAAAACAAGCACCCTTGTTATTCCTGGTAGTTTGAAGAATCTCTCAGTAGGGACTGCTGATGTTCGATGCCAGAAGGACGCTGGCCGGAGCGGGGGTGATGCCCTGTGACTTGCCGAAGGTGAGGGCATGAGGCCTTGTAGAGAGATCCGGGGATGCTATGCGGGGGCATCCTAAGGGACAGCTGGGGGTTGCTGACACAGGACGACACTGGTCGGAGCTGGAGTGAGTCGCGTTGCTCTGTAACCTAGCGGATAGGGGCCATGAGGCCTGGATGAGTTTGTCAGAGAATAAGTCAGTTTTGGTGAGCTTTGTTATGATCTGCTGGAAGTCCCTTAGATACTTGAGTGTTCGGAGAATTGCGGTGGATTTCAGGAGGTGTTTAGGGATCGTAAAAAAGGATTCGTAATTTTCTCATCGTCTATCCCGATTTTATGTAGTTTGTTCATGATCTTGGAGGATACTCTCAAGCCGAAACCAGGTAATGGCCTCGGTACCTCATTTTGTTCATAAATTGTTTTTACATGTCTTCATATGGGACGCTGGGCCCGATTCCCAGCACGTGCTGCTCCCCACGAATAGATTGGAGCATGTCCTTTAAAAAAAAAAAAACGGGCCCATTCAGAGATAGAACCCCTGCTAAAGAGCCACTTCAAGGTAGATTGACTGGTGCTGGCAGTTCTGAATAGGACCACACCTTGATAACAGTGTCATTAACTGGCGTCGCACTAGGGAGAACGGGAGGATATAGTGTGAGGGCCTGATCCTGAGGATCACATTGGACCTAGTTCTGATCCTCAATGACAAGAAGGTATGCATTGAGCTGAAGCTGGGGACAGGGAAAACTGAGAGGTCACAAGCTAACAGCAGATTGAACATTTCTCATTACAGACAAGGGTTAATTCAAGAGGTGGTGTACAGGTGGAGTGTGAAGGATATCCTCTCCCTTCTTTTACAAAGACAATGATCCAGGTGTGTGTTCCTGCTGAAGGAGACCTGAACTGTTTGTACCATACATGCGGCGCATCGCGATGCGCTGCACTGCGCACGTGCGCCGCACGGCGCATCCCGCACGGCGCGCGCGCACTGCATGCGGCGCACCTCCGAAAATGGGGGTCGAAAAAAAAAAAAAAAGTTGTGAGGGGCGGTAGTAGACCCGGCCCCCTGCTCGCGTAAAATAAGAAACGGGCAGCCATATTTTTTTTTTGGGGCCGCGCGTTGGCCCGCAAGCTTTTAGTAATCTGTAGTTCGGGTAACACTCTGTGTGTATGGTAGGGTTATTGCAGTCTGTATTGTAGGGTTCTTGTAGGCCAGATTCAGTCATGATGAGGGTCGCGATTTCTCAAAACGTTCTCTTCTTATTACTTCTGAAGTAGAAAACGACGGAACTGACAGCCRTTTTTCCTGGAATGGAAAAAAATCAAGAATTTCTTTGCACGAGTGTCGCCCGGCACGTCCAACCTGTCAGAACCTCAACGGTAATTRCAGTCKGTATGGTAGGGTTCTTGCAGGCCAGATTCAGTCAAGATGAGGGTCGCGATCTCTCAAAACGTCCTCTTCGTATTACTTCTGAAGTAGAAAACGACGGAACTGGCAGCCGTTTTTCCTGGATTTTTTTTTTCTAAAAAAAAAAAAAAAAAGTAAAGGAAGAACATCAGCATGGGCCTCGCCACACTGCTCTCGAAATGTGAAAAAGACAAAAATGTGGCGGGGGCATCTGGTCGTGTTCTAGCGGGAAGTTCATCCCCATTTTGCAAWTTTYGAGAGTGGTGTGGCRATGCCCRATTTCYTTGCACGAGTGAAGCCCGGCGCGTCCAACCTGTCAGAACCTCAACGGTAATGTTTACCAACCGGCTCGCTGCACTACTCTCGACATGCACAAGAAGAACTCTTGTCGCTGTCTACCAACGGGCTTTCTGCGGTTTGAAAGCAGACTGGTAAGTAATTATCAGCTTCGCCGGGATCCACAAAAGAGGTGAGGGCGGGGTCGTTTTGGGGTTGGAAGACGGATTGGGTGGAAGCGATGACKGTAGATAGGAGAGAGWKAGGAGGGGGGGGTTCMGCATCTCTAAGGKAGATATCATCGATGAAATTGAGGAGGAGGGAAGGGGTGGCTGAAAAGTCGGGGAGTCTGAGCGGCGAGAAGAGCCGTGCCTGGAGGAGATGTCGAGTTGTTGACACCAAACGTCTCCTTCCTTACGTAATACT